CGCGAGCGTCGAGCATTCCGGGATGAGGGGCCGGTGGTGGCCTGAGGTCGAGCCATGGCGATGACGTTGCTCCGGTGCTTCAAAGTGGAGCATAACCGAATACCAACGTTTAATCTCAATGAGCATCAGCCACCTGCTTGAACCTTTCGGTTTTTCCATACCAATGTGCATGACGCGGTCTCCGGGTCTTCTCCTATGTTTGTTGCACGCTTTTTGCGACTCCGCAAGTTGCGTTCCACTCATCTTCGTTGGCACTTACCAGGCGAACACGCATGAGCGAACATCAAAGCCAGCGACGGAGGCCAGCACACGGATGAGCCTGGCTTTGGCCGAGCTCTTTTTTGGTTCATGCATTTGAGGACTATGAAGAGGCGAAAGAGAGGCTCGCTCCATGGCCTGAACACTGACTTGGTCTCATATCCAAACCATGGTGGAATGGAACACCAAAACAAACAACCTGCTATCAAAACAACCTGCTATCACGGCCGTAAGTTTGTATAGCTCACGGCCGTTTTCTACAGAGAGAACCAGTAGTAGGTAACCTTGCTGTTGATGCTTCAAAGGCGGATGAAGCGAAGAAAGAGGCCGTCCCGGCGGAACGGGAACGGGGGGTTGCGAAGAGGATAGATGATGCAGGTATGCAATAGACCGTGTCTATGGCGTGTTGATGATGATCCATGTTCGAATTTGTTTCTGCTTAAAGCAACAGCTTTATGTGTTTGGACATGGTGATGATGAAGCATTCAACTAATGCAAGACGACCTAAGTCTGGGGAATGCGCAACTGTCGAAACATGGACCTCACAGGTGCATGAGATCAGTACACAGATAGAATCAGATAGACTAGCATGCCCAGCAAGACCTAAACTGAGTGCTTTAACGGGAAGTTCCCTCTCTTGTTGCAGATGACGGCTAAACGGAGTTCCATCAGTCTTGTAACTCTGCTCCCAGTTGTCAACGTTCATGACGGATGATACGGCGAAAGGCCAACGCGGTTGAGACCTGCCGGAGAATGCGCCAGGCCAATCCTGAAGCTGCCAGCGCGGCTGCAGAGGCCTGTTAGACTTGGGAAGACGAACACAACTCTGGATGAAACACTAATGTAAGACCAGACTCTTGATTAATAACCCCCCCCCACTATGCACAGGTTGTTCAATCCAAATTCAGGGCGTTGTAAAATCAAGAGATGTTACGCAGACCTTCCATGTATTTCCTCCCTGGTGACCTGTGATTCGAAACATCACCTCAGTTGTATGCACCGAGACAACGTCCCACCAGTCGTCCGGTCGTCCAGTTGGTGTCCCAATGGCCCGAGGCTGTTCAGCATGAAGCGGGCTCGAAGGAAGTTCCTCCAGAGGCCGTTTCAGCCTGTTCAGCTGTCAGGATGTCAGCTCCATGCAGGATGTCAGTATGTCAGTTTCTCTTCAGCTGCTGTTCTCGGTTTTTTGAGGTTCCCACGGCGATGTCCAGCTCTTTCCAACTAATTCATGCCATGAATTCACGTGTTCCACGGCTTCGCTTTGTGGACTTCATCTTTCAGGGCTTGTGAGGCTAGGAATGTCGTGACGAAAACAACGACAGGAAGTCAGCAGAATTGGGAAGGTACTTGATTTCCCAGATTTCTTTCGGCTGGGACACACGATCCGTGCGACATGTGATAGTGGGGACACGGGGACACAGAACATGAAGTCAACTTTCGCATTTTGGCAGCTGCGCAGGAGGACAAGGAAAGTGCAATGAAGACCACCAGAACCGACATTTGGAGACTGAGGTACAGAACCTCATATGAGTCCTCATATGAGGCTTTATGTTTCCCATTGAATCTGGTTCATTCTCATATGAGTTCTCATCCGGTTCTCCACGCCAAACATCACCTCCGCGGCATTTGACCGGAGGCACCAGCGAGCCGAGCGGATACTTTCGCGGAACCGGCGGAGGTGCGGTGGGGTCGTAAAGGACCGAAGGATGAAAGCGAAGGCATAGGAACTAAAGGGAGGATGCCTGCCTATAATTTTAGCTGGCTATTTATAGCTTATATCGTGACTGCTAGCTGCTAGTAGATAGTGACTTGAGGAGTTTCAAAGATGCATGCGATGATTGATCGATGAATATTGATGATCATTTGAGGGTTGATTTCTTATTGATGTGCACACTCGTGGTGGCGCGGAGGCCAGACCATCGGAAGCACCTGCTGAGGCCAGACCATCTTTTGGCAGATTCAAAAATCAGTAAACAGTAAGATTTTAGATCAGTAAGTGCTGAGCCGTTGACCCGCCCTTAACAGGCTTTTTTTTGCTGAGGCCAAGTAAGACAGTTGTGATTGAAGAGATGTTTGATCACATTCTGACAGAGTTGCAGTTAGACACATACAGCACACTATGATGTTGCTTGTGTGGGGTGGTAGAGCATGGCCAAGCAGATTTTCTAGACAAACAAGTCCTGTAATTGCATGTGTGGATGCACTAACCTAGCTCCGGATCTAGTTTGGTGTTGCTCCCTGCCTGATGCCTGACTCCAATGTCAGAATTGGAAGGTTTATCATTGTGTTCCTTGAAACTTGGTGCTTTGAAGCAATCAATTCAGCTACACTATTTGATCATATTTGATCTTATTAACATCAAATGCATGCAATTAATTCCAAACATGTGATGATTTGGGTGTTTCATGGTGTTTCTTACTTGTTGGCTTTTGCTGTCCTCACGACATGTTCTCACACAGCTTAGACAATATATCGTGACTCCTTTTCGCTCCTCTACGGATCTCCGACGTCCACCGGTGGTTCGCCACCCGCCAGGCGGGCTGACCGAGCTCGTTCGCAGTTGAGCTCCGCCCTCGGCGCGCGGGGGGAAGGTGATCGAAGAGAGTCCAACGGCCGAGCTCGGCGTTTGGAAAAAGAAGGGTGTGCTGGAAATTAGGGGAAGTGACAGCGTTTTGCTGGACTCTATAGTGAGATGTGAGAATGGTTCTCTTCAAGAACTGCCATGAAAGGTAATTACACCTGCGTAAGTACACCTGGGTGCATTTGGGTACCTTGATTGAAATTGTGAAAAGGGAGTCACTCAGAAGGTAGACTTGTCAGGCATAGTAGGCCAGACTGGTTTATTATTGCAAGTGGCAAGATGCTTGAGCCATTCGCCTCCTTTCACTGGATCTTGAGCAAGTGATTGAATGCCATAGTTGCCAAATACCAAAGCCATTAGCACCCCGCATGAGCCGACCTCTAGGCTTTAAAATTCATCAATTGCATGGTGGTCTCATGGACAGATTCATCTTCGAGTCTGCATTATAGTTTTCTATTAGTTTTCTATAGTGGATCCATTGCATGAATTTGAGCCAGGATTGGATGCATGAGGTAGTGCACACTTGTCGGCATGCACCATCAGCCAGTGGCAAATGGTTCAGCGCACCTGAGGCGCGGCTGAGGTCGCGTGACGTCTTTTTCGTGTGGTGGACCTTTTCTCCATCACTTGTCATAGAAAACCATAGAAAATACAGCCAGTTGAGCGTTAAGCATGTGGGAGCTAAGGCGTATAGTGTTTTTTTTTTGGCCGAACAACAGCTCTGCACCTGTATTGCATTCCCGCTAACATTTTGGCTGGTTTACATCTCAGGCATCCTGTTTGACTGCACCACTCCTGATCGGAAGGACACCATGGGCACCAGGAGCGAACTTAAGAATCCATTGCAGCCGCTGTGGGGGTCCCACTTTTCCACCCGCAGACGAAGACACATTACGAAGACACATTCAAGCACAGCCACCTCTCCTCCCGCAATGTGAAGACGATTTCCGCAGACGAATTCTCCGAAGACGAATTAGACCCCGAAGACGAATTAGACCCTGAAGACACTTTCCGCAGACGAATTCTCCGAAGACGAATTAGCCCCCGAAGACGGATTGGACCCCGAAGACGCTTTCCGCAGACGAATTCTCCGAAGACGAATTGG